AGTTGTTTTCCATTGTCTTAAGACTTAGCTTTAGCTAAAATAACCAAAATAAAGATCCCCCAAATGCATCTACCCTCCCACCCATTCTTTAAGAAAAATAGGGTTCCTTTCCCTGGGTAACTAAGTGTCCTAATAAAAAATATTTTTTTAATGTATTACTGGCTCTTACTTCAACAATATTGACTAAATATACATGATTTTCTCTCTTCTCTCCCAAATGCTCATTGAAACAATAAGAGAAAAAAATAGTTTACACCTAAATGAAAAATATAACCACAGAGATCCAGGAGATGGCGGCAAAGGTAAATGCCTGTACTCACCACCTCCTACAACCACATCAAAATTACAACTAAAATACAGAACAACCATCATCCAGAACCGCCGGAAAGCTGCCTGAATGGAAGTCCTACAACTAGAGAAGTAAAGAAGAAAGCACACTGGGACTGGTAGGAGGTGCAGAGACGCAGAACGGGCTGGTCTGACACCCATGTGTGTCGCTTTTTTAATCAGGAGGGAGATCATCTCTATGGAGGCCACCTGGAGGAGCAAGGGGACCCAGCCCACACCAGACCCCCAGCCCAGGATCCCAGAGCTGGGAAAAGAAGTCCCTATGGGCAGTAAGAACTACAGGCTGTAAAAACCAGTGCGGATTGGGGCTCAGTAACACAGAGGCTGCTGGAGACCCGGTTGTTCCTCTTTAAAGGCCGGCACCATGAACTGAACTTACAAGCTCCCACTTCCTCTGAGCTCTAGCACCAAGGTGATGCTCTGGGGAATACAGACACCAGGGCAAGAAGGAACTGGATTCAGGGCAGGAACTCGGGGGCAGCTTTCTCCCATATGGAGGTGCTTGCAGGAACCATTGTTTCTAAGCTGGGACCTCCCCAGTTGCAGGGCTGACGGGCAGCCATTTCTGTTTGCTCCGTCCTGGTGATTCCCTAAGACCCATGCCTCATCCAATTTACAACCCCACCCAAGCTGTGTACAGCAGCTTTTGCATATGAATGGCCTGTCCTTGCTCAGGCGAAATCTCTCAAACGGGCTGCAGCTAGATTAGGGAGCCCCAAACTGATCAATAAAAGGCCCAAGACCCAGCACCAGCACCAGCCTGCCTTACTTCATAGCTGGGCCTCATCTGGGCACTTACAAATCCGATACAAAGGGGAGGAATCTGCAGATCTCTCTGTAGCTCCTGCTGGGTGGCCCCAGGCAGTAGCTCACTTTGCACCTCCCTGGAGACCCAAGAGCCAGTGTACTCAATGGTCAATATCAGACCATACCAAATTACATCTCTACACATTCATAAGTGACACCTTCAAGGGATAGACTCAGTGAGCACCAAAGCCCCACTGAACCAAGTCCTGCTCCATAAGGGTGTCTCAGTCCTCACAACCAATTGGCCTGGAGGCCAATACCTCCCAGTGACACCAACAGCAATCAAATCTCAACTACAAGACTGTGCTCACAGCCCACAAAGGGGTACACTTAGAGCTCCTAGCTAAGGTGACTGGGGAGGTTGAGCCACTGGGCCATATAGAACACCTACTACATAAAGCCACTCTACCAATTCAAGGAGACTTAGCAGCTCTACCCAATACATAGAAACAAACAAAGGGAAGCAGCCAAAAAGCAGAGACAAAGAAATATGTCACAAGTGAAAAAAATGGAAGAAAGCAAACTACTGGATATAGAGTTCAAAACCACAGTTATAAGTTTACTCAAGAATCTTCTAGAAACCTCCAAAAAAATGGAAAAGGACCAGTGAGAAATTAAGCATACACTGACTGAAATAAAGAATAATATACAGGGATTCAACAGAAGAGTAGAGGACTCTGAAAATCAAATCAACGATTTGAAATATGAGGAAGCAAAAAACACGCAACCAGAAGAGCTAAAAAAAAGGATCCAAAAATATGAAGATAGTATAAGGAGCCTCTGGGACAACTTCAAACATCAACATTCACATTATGGGGGTGCCATCACATTATGGGGGTGCCAGAAGAAGAAAGAGAGCAAGATATTGAAAACCTATTTGAAGAAATAATAACAGAAAACTTCCCCTACCTAGTGAAAGAAATAGACTTACAAGTCCAGGAAGCACAGAGAATCCCAAACAAGAGAAACCCAAAGAGGACCACACCAAGACACATCATAATTAAAATGCCAAGGGCTAAAGACAAAGAGAGAAACTTAAAAGCAGCAAGAGAAAAGCAATTAATTAACTACAAGGGAATGCTCATATGACTGTCAGCTGATTTCTCAACAAAAACTATGCAGGCCAGAAGGGAGTGGCAAAAAATATTCAGAGTGATGAATAGCAAGGACCTACAACCAAAATTACTCTACCCAGCAAAGCTATCATTTAGAATTGAAGGTCAGATAAAGAGCTTCACAGACAAGAAAAAGCTAAAGGAGTTCATCACCGCCAAACCAGTATTATATGAAATGCTAAAGGGTATTCTTTAAGAAGAGGAAGAAGAAGAAAAAGGTAAAAAATATGAACAACAAAATGGCAACAAATACATACCAATCAACAATTGAATCTAAAAATCAAAATAAACGAATAAGAAATCTAATGAACAGAATAAATTGGTGAATAAAATAGAATCAGAGGCATGAAAATGGAACAGATTTATGATTCTCAAAGGAAAAGGGGGTAGGAAGGTAGGAGGAGATTAAACTAAGATCTTATATGCATACTAGAGGCCCGGTGCATGAAATTCATGTACTCGGGGGGGGGGGGGGGTCCTTCAGCCCAGCCTGCGCCCTCTTGCAGTCTGGGAGCCCCACGATTGATCGCCCCGCAGAGGGGGGCCACGCTCACCGCCACCGGCCAGGTAACCTGGGCCTCCCTCTTTGGGGCGATTGGAGAGCACCCCCAGCTGGTGGCCTGGGCCTCCCTCTGCAGGGCGATCATGGGGCGATGGCGGGGCCCCCCAACCAATCGCATCGCACCCGCCTTGGCACCGGCAGTCCGTGCTGGGTCACCACGGCTCCCGCGGCAGTGGCAGTCAGTGCTGGGTCGCCATGGCGCCTGTGACCCAGGAGGGACCGAGAGGTCAGCAGTTCAGCCCATTCGCCAGTCCCTGCCCACCTGAGCCTGCTGTGTGTGCAGCCTGGCATTCGGTCATCCTTTCAGCTGTTTTGGGTGTTACGGACCCTGGCTCTTTATATATTAGGTTAGGATATGCATTACCTATGGACACAGACAATAGGGTGGCAAAGGCCTGGGGTGGGGCAGGAACCAGGTGAAAGGGGGAAATGGGGGGAGAAAAAGAGGGACATCTGTAATACCCTCAACAATAAAGATTAAAAATAATAACAACAATGATAAATTTTAAAAATTCATGCAAATTTGTCATCCTACTCCAGAAAAAAAAAAAAGAAAAAAAAAAATATATATATATAACCACATTAGAAAACAAAAAGGTGCCATTTGCAGATTAGAGTTTTAAAAACCTCTAGATCCATGGTTCTTAAACTTTAGCATGTATCAAAATACCCCAGAGGGCTGGTTTAAACACAGATTGCAGGACTCCACCCTCAGGGTTTCGGATTCAGTAGGTATGAGGTGGGGCTGATGATTTTGTATGTCTAACAAGTTCCCAGGTGATGCTGACTCTGCCGGTTTGAGGACCATATTATGAAAACCATCATGCTAAGTAAATAGAGGTCATTAAAAAGAATACTTTTTATTAATTCTAATTAGCATCCTCAGAAAGATTCAAACAAATGATACAACCATTTTTTCAAGTGGGTAGGGACAGCAATTGGAAAATAAAAAAATAGTTCTGAAACACTGGAAAAAATATAATTTCTGAATTTTTAAAAAATCAGAAGGACTAAATAACAACTAAAACCTAGTATAGCAGTGTAGAGGCATCTTCTAAAACACAAAACAAAAGACAAAGTGATGGAGAATCTGAGAGAAAAATTAACTGGCATAAAGGATCCGTATCTACCTAAGAGGTTTCTGGAGAGAGAACAAACACATCACAAGAAGTAATCAATAAAAAAATTTGCTCTAAGCTCAAAAAAACTGAAACTTCGATACTGTTTGGCCAGTTTCCAAGCAAGTAAAAAAATTTAAAGCCAACAATTAGATGCATATCTGTGACATTTCTAAACTCAAAGAACATAAAGAAAACTCTAAAAGCTTTGAGGGGGGAAAATAGGTTATTACAAAGCAATATGAATCCAACTAGCATCAGACATTTCATAAGCATGCTAGAAGAAAATGGAATTTTTTTTCATGGTTTAGAGAGGAAATTATTTTAAACCTGGAATTCTACATCTAGTCAAGCTATCAAACATGAAGGACAAATAAAGACATAGAGTGGGGCCTTGACTTACGAGTTTAATTTGTTCCGTGACGAAGCTCGTAACTCAAATTACTCGTATGTCAAATCAAAAGTGAATGAGTGAGACTCGTGATGCTGGGCTGATGTTGTGGCGTTCACTGCGCCAACTAGCGGTGGGGTATCTGAAGCTGGCTCGTAACCCGAATTTTAGCTCGCAACTCAAAGCAAAAAATCGGCCGAGAGACGGCTCCTATCACGAAAAACTCGTTAGTCGGGACACTCGTAAGTCAAGGCCCCACTGTATTTGGAAATTCAAAAATTAAGAAAATGGGCTTCCTGTCTAGTTTCCTATTTCTACTATAAGAAATTATCACAGATGTCCAAAATGGGTTTAAGGGCTTATATTAGCATATTGGCAGAATTACATGCCTTTTGGAAGCTCTAGGGAAGAATCCATTTCCTTGCCTTTTCTAGCTTCTAGAGGCTGCCTAAATTCTGTGACTAGTGGTCCCCTTTCATTTTCATTAGTGTTATAAAATATAACCAGTAATTATAGCAGACTTTTGAGTTCCTTAAAGACATGCAAATGACTAGAACAGGATTAATAGCTTTTGACAGAATGAAAAACATCAATATGCTCTTTATCAGTGGCTTAAAACACATTTTAATAAATTAATAATTCTATTAATGAACACCTACCGAATCATTCGCTGCTAGTCCAAGTGCAAGGTTAACTGTAAGAAACAAAAAAGTAATTAAATTTAGTAACTTTCCTTCTACTAAAATTCATTTTCCCTTTTAATATGTGCAATGTAATAACCAAAGCACAGGAACATTTAATATATTTTCCTTATTTGTTTTTTACAAGGACATGGAGAGAATTCAGGAAGTAAAAGACCCCCAAAGTAATATTCCAACATAACAGATGCTTATTAAAATTTCAAATAATTCATTTATAATCTGTTATAATTTTGTTTAAATAATCTACTTAGTTTGTTTTAAACTATCTTAGTGGTATATATATATATTTTTTTTTAATTATTTTCAAAAACATATTTTCAAAAAAATATCTACCTTTTAATAAATAAAAATGGGTATGATTATATTGTTTTTTAAAAATAAATGCTAGTGATGCAGGAATTCTAAATATGTAACTCACAGTACTTACATATATGAAAGGTTGAACCACTGTGCAAAGAAAAGGGAAGAAGGTAAAAGGTAAGGTGGTAAAACAAGTTCCGAAAATTGTCTATTCTAGTGAATCCCAAAGACTAGCAAGGAGGAAAGTAGTAGTCTGAAAACCACCTTTAGACCAGCAATAAAGATGTTCCCATGACTGATAAATGGACCCTCATACTATGGATCACATTCCTTACAAATCGATGTCATAAATGATGCCAAAATTGTTTCCTTTAAAGTAGTTAAGAGCATAGGTTTCTGGGTAGGCCTGGTTCAAATCCCAGTTCCACCACTTTTTTATGTAACCTTGAATAGGATATTTTAGCCCCTAAGTCTGTTTCTGCCTCTATAAAATATTTCCTATTTCATAACTGTTGTGAGAATTATAGGAAATACTGTATGTAAAGTACTTAGCCTAGGGCACTTGATAAATTAATCTTTATAAATTATAAAGTAATTCTGAATTTCAAGTACATCATAGGTTAAACATAATCCAACATTTAAGTGGAAACCATCAGAGGTTAATTCATTTTCATGTTAGGGTCTTTCAATATTTATACAATAGGCTCACAGAGCATGTTTGTATTAATCAAATGTTATCATTCTAATCCAAAATATCTCTAGCATACACATTCAAATGGGAAGTATTTTCAGATTGTTTGGGACAAGAATAAATACATATAAGGAAAAGAAATATAATACCAACAGAGTTACATAGAAATAACCTATTTCTAAAGCTTATGTATGCAGATAGGGCTGTTATGAAAAAGGATAGGCCAGTTGTTTGGGACAGGTGGTCTAACATTAACAAAGGAAAAAAAGCAAAGAAGGGATTCACTGAAACACCTACTTGTGACATATACTATACATTTTCTCATATATTTACCTATTTATATGCTATCGCATTCCATGGCAATAGGTAATCTTCTAACTAAAAACAATAAACAATCAGTTTTTAAAAAAGTGCTAGCCTATAGACCCAGCAAATTATATTGCACAAAACCATGGCTATCATCATGAAAATAACTTCCATCTTTAACAAGACCAAGTAGTCACAGAGCATACAAAATTATTCACACCACTGAAAACAGGTAAATGTACTCTGAATTTAAAAAGAGGTATATTCTAGAACCAAAGATTAAGAGCTACTAAGTTTTAAAAACAAAATATCAAATAGATCGATTGTAGACTCTTAGGACAGCAAAAATGTGCCGGATATAGCATGAATTCTTTAGAACAGTCACTAACTAATCATTTTAATAACAGTTTATTACCTATTAAATAGTAAATTAAGGGTCTATCATCACTACAATACTTGGTAGAGCTGAATTTCTTCAAACATCTGAAAAATTCTTTTACACTTACCTTCAGGTAAAAATGGGGGCGGGGGAGGTAGGGGTAAATGAACTAATAAAATTATACAGTTGGATTTATTGCTAGTTGTGCAACTATAAAACCACTAAGATGTAGGATTTACTAAATATGGCTTTAAGTCAAAACACAGATGTCTAGTGACAGTCACAGAACTCTGTACCTGGTCCTTCTTATTTCAAAAATGTCATTAGTTTCAATAGAAATAAAGAATTTTGAGATGCATATATGCCGTAACTTTAGGTTAATAATCTGGGGAAGGGGGGAAAACCCACAAATTTTAAAGATCTTGCCAGTACAGAAGCAAACTAAAATTAACAAAGTGAAATATAATAAGGTAGTCACTTTTTAAAAATCAACTGCAAAAAAAGATAGGTTAGCTAAGACCTGAATTAGCAGCCATTCCTATTGAAATAACTGAAAATTAAATATGAGGCAACAATAAGACATGAGAACTTTATGACCCCAAATTAATAATACTCTGTAGAGTAGGATTGGGAGAAGGGATGTTACCCTTCAAATTATTGCACTGGATTAACTGTTTAGAAATAAGAGGTTTCTTTTGAAAAAACTTGGGAATATCTGTTTATTAGTTTTGGATGGTAACTCTTCTATTTCTGGTTGCATTCTTTTATGGGTACTAAAAGCAGCACTTCAGTCACAATGAAGTCTACAATAAATTAAAAAGAGCCACTCCAAAAACATATATATATATATATATATATATATAAAATTTTCTCTGCTCCAATATAATATAAAAGATATAAAGATTAGATGATATCTTAAATAATTACATTAAATCTTTTCAAGCATTTTCAAATATTAGGTCTATATGGACTCTATAAATGCTGAAAATTATATTACGGTTAAATAAAAAAAGATCACAATAATGTAAACAATCTCATTACAATTACATGTACAACTACATGTAAATGGAAAAAGACTGCCAAAGAACAGAAATAATTCAGTATTAAAGTCAATAGATGGTTTTAAAATAACAGTAACCAAACACTGAGCACTTACTATGTAGGAGACACTGTGCAAAGGGTTCAGTTTAATTTAGGTAACCATCTAATGAAAAATAGTTGTCATCCTTGCCGTTTTACAGGTAAGTAAACTAAAGATCTGATGGGCAACTTGACAACCTTTGCCTCAGTTAAGGAGTCAAAGGCCTGGCTATCTACCAAGTTTGGTCTAACTCCAAAATCTAAGCTCCTAACCACTACCAACTCCTGATATTAAGTAACCAGCTACCAGGAACTTCACAAATACTAACTTTTTTGTTGTTGTTGTTACTTTTTTTTTTTACAAATACTAACTTTTAAAAAAACAAATCTACAGTTTTAATACTGTGCAATCGCCAGTTGTCAAAAGTTCCTAATTGAGATTCAAATTAATATCCTATAATACCTGCTGTTGTAGACTTTCCAACTCCACCCTTTCCAGAAGCCACAACTATAACTTGTTTAACACCTTCTATTGGTTTCTGCTTTGGAAGTCCTCGGGACATGATTTGTGTTCTTCTTTGTTTTAGGGTCTCATTTTCAGCTCCAGATAACTTTAAAAAAAAGTTTTAAAATAAGCCATCTTTATTATCATACTGTGAAAATAAAAACGATTCGGGGTTTGTGATTAAAAGGGCATTCTTTCTTTCTTTCTTTTTCCAGTCCAAGTCTATTCATTTCTACTAGTGAGGCCTTTAGTGCTATTCACCTACTGCTATTGATCACAATCCAAGAGACACGTTGTTTCAGCTGACTCATCTGTCAAGACACCCAGACGTTACAAATGGAAAGCAAGCGCCGCTTTCCGGAGTTAGAGCCTCCACGTGTTTCCTTCTCTGCATAAACCAAGGCTTAAGAAAGCAATGCGCAGGTCACACATCCATGTTCTAACCATGTTCCACGTCCCTCCACACCTCGGCCTCATCCTATGGGGACCTGCACAGAAAGCGGGGCCATCCAGCCGCCGGGTCTCACTGAGCGGCCAGCGGCGGGGGGGACCCCGGGGCTCCGCGGGCCTTCGGCGGAGGCAACGCCAGGCCCCTGCGGCCCAGCAGCTCCGTCCCGCCCTCCGCCCCTGCCCGGCTGCACCACGGACCTGGCGCCGACACACCCAGTGGCTTCCCCCAAGCGGGACACAGGCCCCGCCACCACTCCGGAGCGACACCCCGCCAAAACGCAGCCAACGCTGCCAAGACCCCATTCCGCAGAACGCCGCCCACAGCCCAGCCCGGAAGCCGTCGCTGTTGGCGCCGGGTAATGACGTCACATAGCAACGCCCGGCTTCCTTTCCCTAGCGACTAGCCTCCTTGGAGTTTCTTTTTTTTTTTTTTTTTTTTTTCTCCAAAGTCATTTTAATTCTACATTTAGATGAGTTTTCCACATTGCCACTAATGAATTTTCATTGAGAAACTATATTCTGGAGCAAACAATTTGGTCAAACAATTGCATTTACTAAACATTGTTTTAATTAAAATAATTTAATTAATTGATTTAGTCATGTTAATGAATATTTTATATATTTACAATTTTCCCCCTAGATTTAATTTTTTAAAGAATAATATTAAAATTTCATTTTCTTTTTATTTGTTTTTTATTGTTTAAAGTATTACAAACAGTAGTACATATGTCTCCTTTTTCCTCCCCACAATGGCCTCCTCCCCCCCCCCCCCCCCGCAGCCCCACTCCCCCCACTCCACCTCCCAGTGTCTGTGTCCATTGGTAGGCATGCATGCAAGTCCTTTGATTGATCTCTTAACCTCCCCCCCCAAAACCTTCCCCTGCCTTCCTGCTGAACTTTGACAGTCTTTTGGATGCTTCTTTGTCTCTGTATCTATTTTTGTTCACCGGTTTAGGATGTTCTTTATATTCCACAAATGAGTGAGATCATGTGATATTTCTCTTTCTCTGACTGGCTTATCTCGCTTAGCATAATGTTCTCCAGTTCCATCCATGCTGTTGCAAATAGTAAGAATTCCTTCCTTTTTACAGCAGTGTAGTATTCCATTCTGTAGATGTACCACTGATTTTTAAACCACTCATCAGCTAATGGGCACTTAGGCTGTTTCCAAATCTTAGCTATTGTAAATTGTGCTGCTATGAACATAGGGGTGCATATATCCTTTCTGATTGGTGTTTCTGGTTTCTTGGGATATATTCCTAGAAGTGGTATGACTGGGTCAAATAGCAGTTCCATTTTTAATTTTTTGAGGAAACACCATACTGTTGTCCACAGTGGCTGCACCAATCTGCACTCCCACCAGCAGTGCAAGAGGGTTCCTTTTTCTCCTCATCCTCTGCAGCACTTGTCATTTGTTGATTTGTTGATGATAGCCATTCTGACAGATGTGGGATGGTACCTCATTGTTGTTTTGATTTGCATCTCTCGGATGATTAGTGACTTTGAGCATGTTTTCATATGTCTTTCAGCCTTCTGTATGTCCTCTTTCAAAAAGTGGGTATTTAGGTCCTTTGCCCATTTTTTGATTAGGTTGTTTATCTTCCTTTTGTTAAGTTGTATGAGTTCCTTGTAAATTTTGGAGATTAAACCCTTATCAGAAACAACATTGGCAAATATGTTCTTCCATGCAGTGGGCTTTCTTGTTGTTTTGTTGATGGTTTCTTTTGCTGTGCAGCAGCTTTTTATTTTGATGTAGTCCCATTTGTTTATTTTCTCCTTAGTTTCCATTGCCCTGAGAGCTGTATCGGTAAAGATATTGCTACGACAAATGTTTGCTATTTTGCTGCCTTTGGCTTCTTCTAAGATTTTTATGGTTTCTAGTCTTATGTTTAAGTCCTTTATCCATTTTGAGTTTATTTTTGTGTATGGTGTAGGTTGGTGGTCTAGTTTCATTTTTTTTTTTTTTGCACATATCTGTCCAGTTTTCCCAGCACCATTTATTGAAGAGACTGTCTTGACTCCATTCTATGCTCTTGCCTCCTGTGTCAAATATTAATTGAGCATAATGACTTGTGTCGATTTCTGGGTTCTCTGTTCTCTTCCACTGGTCTATATGTCTGTTCTTGTGCCAGTACCAGGCAGTTTTGTAGTATAGCTTGATATCTAGTATTGTGATCCCTCCAACTTTGTTCTTCTTTCTCAAGATTGCTGCAGCTATTTGGGGTCATTTTTTATTCCATATTTTTGGAGAGTTTGTTCTAGGTCTTTGAAGTATGCTGTTGGTATTTAATGGGGATTGCATTAAATTTTAGATTGCTTTAGGTAGTATGGACATTTTAATGATGTTGATTCTACCAATCCATGAACATGGTATATTCTTCCATTTGTTTATGTCTTCCTCTATCTCTATCTTCAGCGTCCTGTAATTTTCTGAGTACAGGTCCTTTACCTCCTGGGTTAAATTTATTCCTAGGTATCTTAATGTTTTTTGTTGCAATGGTAAATGGGATTTTTTTTTTTTTTTTAGTTTCTCTTTCTGTGAGTTCATTATTGGTGTATAAAAAAGCCATAGACCTCTGGGTGTTAATTTTGTATCCTGCTACATTGCTGAATTCATTCATTAAGTCTAGTAGTTTTTTATTGAGTATTTAGGGTTTTCTATGTACAATATGTCATCTGCGAATAATGACAATTTTACTTTTTTCCAATTTGGATGCCTTTTATTTCTCCTTCTTGTCTGATCGCCATGCTAATACTTCCAGTACTATGTTGAACAGGAGTGGTGAGAGGGGGCATCCCTGTCTTGTTCCTGTTCTTAGGGGAAATGGTTTTAGTTTTTGCCCATTGATCCTTTGAGTTTCTTCAGCCCAGGAACCTGACTTGCTTCACAGCCAGGTGCAAACATTTTACAGTGTTTAACCAAATATTTGTGAAGCACTTTCATGTGCCTCATCTTATTTGATCCTCACAGAAGTCCTGGAGTAGGTAGATTGGAGACTCGGTAGAATCCTATTTCCTTTTCATTAGCAAGAAAACAGAGATTTAGAAAGTTTAGAAACTTGACCCAACTGAGAAGAAATAAGAAATGGTGGAACTTGAAAATGACTTCAGGATTTCTCACTGCCTCAATTAAATATTTTACCCTTTTTTCTCTCCTGAGTGATCTATAATAATAACCTGCTTCATGTTGATATTTACTGCTGTGTTGCTAACAACTACCTGAAAGAGAAGTTGGGGTGCTTTGCTGGGCTGGAAAAGTTTAGCTAAATCAGAAAAGTTTAGCTAAAGCAGGTCTAATTAAGCAAGTTTTGCTCAAGAAAGAACTTACATGAAGAATGAAGTGGAAATTATCTTGATGGAAGGCAGTATGTCTACAAAGTGGATAAACAAGTGATGAAAATAGGTTTAAGAGAGAAAGATGAACACTGATACAGGAACCCAGACCCCCAAAAAGGATTATTCAGGGTGTGGGGTGGTTTACCCTGGCATGTCTCCATAATATTTTCTAAGGTTGATTTTAATTTCTATCTGTAGGAATGTGTTGTATAGTCATTCAGTTTATTGTGTTCTAACCTGATCTAATTTCCTTTCCTTTAATACAGGCATAACATATCAACCTCAAAGAATTATTGTGAGGATCAAATGAGATATTACAGAAAATACATTAAATTTAATAAGCTGGGGGGAAATTCAGTTTCTTGCTTTTTCTCCCCCAATCTCACCACCTTATTGCTTCTTTAAACTTTCTTTACCTTTCACTAAATTTGACACATTTAACTTACTATTTTATATCACTTTCTGTTATTTTGTGATGTGTTCCCTCAACTGATTTTATTAATTTTTAAATGTTTATCTGCTCAATGTTTATAAATTATAGGTCAAAGGAATAGGGATAAAGAGAATAGCTGTCAGAACAATCCATTCACAAAACAGGAAATATTAAATATCTGTTTCCACATAGCTTTGTAAGTTCTTCCAGACTTCTGAAGATTCATTCATTTAACAAGCATTTACTAGTATTGAACAACTACTATGTGCCAAACACTACACTAATCTTAGCGTTTTCAACATTGAACAAGACATAATTTCTCCACTCAAGGACTTTGCAATACAGCAAGAGAGAAAGAGTACATTATCAAACAATTACAATATGATGTAATAAGTATAGGAAAAAAGGTACTGACTGAGTGATACAGAAGTATAAACAAAGAGTACCCAATTTAAGCAAGGACTGCTTCTGGATAAGGTGACTTCTAAACTGAATCCTGTGTGTGGCTAATGGGTAGTAGTACCCTAGGAGAACAGCTGCAGATTGCTGTGCAGAGGTGAGAAACAAACTGTTAATCACTGAAAATAATCTATGTGGCTTGAGCACAGTGTGTAAGGTACCAGATTGAAAGAGATTAGGATGGAGGTTGGTAAAGATGGAGGTTGCCCAGGTCATGAAAAGCTTCGTAGGCCATGTAAAGGAATTTGGATTTTATCGTGAAGGAACCATGGAAGGGTTTTAAGCAGGAAAATAACATGGTACGATTTGTGTTTTAGAAATGCCACTATGATTATTAGGGAAGAAGGGGGGAGAGTGGATGGAAGAGGCAAGATAAGAGGCTGGGAGACAAGAGATTATTGTAGTAATCCAAGAGAAATGTTCAGAAAGGATATATGCACCCCTATGTTCATAGCAGCACAATTCACCATAGCTAAGATCTGGAAACAGCCTAAGTGCCCATCAGTAGATGAATGGATTAGAAAACTGTGGTACATCTACACGATGGAATACTATGTTGCTCTAAAAAGGAAGGAACTCTTACCATTTGCAATGGCATGGATGGAACTGGAGAGCATTATGCTAAGTGAAATAAGCCAGTCAATGAAGGAAAAATACCACATGATCTCACTCATTCATGGATAATAGAGACCATTATAAACTTTTGAACAATAATAGATACAGACGCAGAGCTGCCTCAAACAGATTGTCAAACTGTAGCGGGAAGGCCGGGGAGGGTTGGGGGGTAGGAGGTAGGGGGGTAAGAGATCAACCAAAGGACTTGTATGCATGCATATAAGCATAACCAATGGACATAAGACACTGGGGGATAGGGGAGGCTAGGGGACTGTCTAGGGCGGGGGGATAAAATGGACACATATGTAATACCCTTTGTAATACTTTAAGCAATAAAAAAAAAGAGAGAGAGAGAAATGTTGAACGCTTGATTTAACATACCTAAATTTCACTTGGCTTATCCATAAAATAGGTAATACCTACTTGCAAAATTGTTGTGAGGTTGAATTTAAAATAATGCATGTAGAATGCTTACCGCATAGCACACATGCTTA